TAAGAACCTGTTGTACTGGACAACCACAAAAGAACTCAACCGCAGACAGGTTCGGTGGGCCGAAACATTGGCACCATACGACTTCAAGATATATCACGTTCGAGGAAAAGAAAATACTGTGGCAGACGCGCTCAGTAGATGGCCAGATTACATGGAAAACATTAAACCAGAGCCCATAGTAGTACTTAAGGAAAAAGATGGCGCCTTGATCTACGCAACACCTGAGATAGAGGTGCTGGCTTTTATCGATATCGAGCTGACAGAAGAGTAAAAGAAAGAAATTATTAAAGGACAACATAATGATAAGTCAGCAGGACATTTAGGTATCGAGAAGACACTCGAATTAGTCACGAGGGACTTTACCTGGAAAGGGGTCAGGAAAGACGTAGTAGAATATATTAAGAACTGCGATATATGCCATAAAGCAAAGCACGCGAGACATAAGCCCTACGGGTTACTCTAAACGTCAACGATACTAGAAAAGGCGTGGTACACCATCGCATTGGATTTTATCATAAAGCTACCAAAGTCCAAAGAACCCCTCACGGGTGTGGAATTCGACAGCATACTTGTGGTAAACGACACCCTGACCAAATATGCAGAATTTATTCTATACAAGGAGTTATTGACAGCTAAAGACTTAGCGTACGCGCTATATAAGGACGTTTTCAGTCGACATGGGATGCCGGAAGAAATACGCTCGAACCGGGACAAGCTGTTTATATCGCAGTTCTGGCAATCGTTAATGGATCTCACGGGAGTCCACCAAAAGCTGTCAATAGCTTTTCACCCACAGAGCGATGGGCAGACAGAAAGAACGAATTAAACGCTGAAACAGTATTTACGGTGTTATGTTAATTTCTAGCAGAACAACTGGGTACAGCTACTACCTATAGCGCAGTTTGCATTTAACAACAAAGCAGTAGTAACAGGAATATCACCATTCTACGCAAACCACGGGTTTCACCTAAGGATAGATAAGGATGCCAGAGGCATCAAACCAATTGCAGAAAAGGCAGCAATCTCGGTTGAGAAATTACGGTCACTACACGAACTTTTGAAGAAAGAACTTAAGAAAATATCACAAAAAACAGTTAAAAGCTTGAATAGACGAAGATCTAAGGGACTAAACTTCAAAAAAGGGGAGGTAGTGTACCTTCTTAGGAAAAACATTAAAATATAATGACCATCTAACAAACTAGATTACACCAAGATTGGACCTTATAAGATTAAAAGGAAACTTGGACCAGTGAACTTTGAATTAGAACTATCTAGAGGGATGAATATTTATCCAGTTTTCCATAAATCGCTTCTTGAAAAAGCATCACCGAACGCCAAACCAGGATCGGTGCTAATACATGAGGAAACCCAATAATTGATGTACGATGTGGAGGGGATCCTCGACCATCAAAAAATCAATGGAAAACTACGATATCTAGTTACATAGTTAGGATATAGACATGAAGAAAACACATGAGAACCACTGGAATATCTCTCAGGGGATATGGTTAAGGAGTATTTAAGGAAGAAATGGAGGAGGAAACTCATTAAACATCTGACGCAACTATGAGGGGCGGTTAATCGAGATGGGGCCTTCGAAGTTTAGAAGGGCCCCCGGCGACAACTCAAATATCTCCTCGAGTTGTTTGTTATCCATGCCAATAAAAACGGTGGTTGACGCTTTTTCGGGAGGATCCACGTGATCCAAAGTATCCAGCGATTCGGCCTCCCGCACCAGCATCTGCTTCTGCTTTTCCAACAACAGGTCGGCCTCACGCTGAAGACGCTCGCGTTCAGAGTGAGCCTTATTGACGGCGGTAATCAGTTGGGCCAGCTCTGCGTCTTTTTGGTGGGCCGCCTCGACGAGGCGATTTCGTTGAGCGGTCAGGGAGTCAAACTCTTTATCCGAAAAAGTGCCGTCGCAATACTTCACGCCCTTCTTTGTGCAGGATAAACACTTGCTGCAGCCATCGAGGACGAAACAGACGGAGTTCGAGTTTTGGCAAGGTGTGTAGCGACCCATACTGGATAATTCGCGATTAAAGGACTCGATATGGTCGATTAGTTTCTGACGATGGAGGGTTGAGGGGCGCGCGGGCTTAGCAACACGAAACTGAGGCATGGTAAGCCATGGGAAAGGAAGAAGAGAAGGGCACGAGGAGGGGGAGGCACTCACTTATGTACGTTGAGGACAACGAATGAATCTAGGAAGGGGAAAGTGTTACGAATCGGCCTGCGAGCAGGCCGCATACAAAGCTGTGATGACAGCCAGGACAAGAGAGGAAGCTATACCGGGAAATCATGTGTAAAGAATCACGGCACGGATCACGTGATACGCTTAGCCAGCTCAGCCCTGGGGACGCTGAGCACCGCTGAGCACCACTCGGGAATGCTCAGACGTGCTCAGTGTGCTCGGCCTGAGCACCACTGAGCGGGACTGAGCAGTGACGGATATATATACACGGCCGTTCCATAGCTTTACCACGTAGTCAACTTCGTTCACGATCATACCCATACATTTTGGACTGTGATCACTTCGCTTTAGTACTCGCTCAAGTACTCCGTTCTCAGCGACCTCGCCTCCTATACTTCCCACTTATTAAGGAACGATACGTACAGTGACACCCCTAGTGGAGCGAAACGTAATATCCCCTTATATAAAGTCCCACGAATAAGACCTTATCTTTATGGATAATATACCTAGTGCGGTTCAACTTAAAAGTCGCGATAAGTTAAGTGACGAACAGTCCCAACTTCTCACGAGATCTATAGAACACGTTAACCTTGGTATCGTCCTTGTCGTGATTGCTATAGTTACTATAGCTGGAGATAACAGTGAAGATGGGTCCTGATGTGGGTGCGCCTAGCGCGGCGGACCGAACCGACCCAGTAGGGGATGGTGAGTGGATAGGAGCTTTAGAGCTAGACATTGTGTCAAATACTTCTAATCAAGTGATAGTTAAAGTGTTACGTTTCGCTCCACTAGGGGTGTCACTACACGTATCGTTCCTTGATAAGTGAGAAGTATAGAAGGTGAGGTCACTGAGAACGGAGTACTTAAGCGAGTACTAAAGCGAAGTGATCACAGTCCAAAACGTATGGGTATGATCGTGAACGAAGTTGACTACGTAGTAAAGCTATGAAATGACCGTGTATATATATTCCTGCGTGCTCAGCGTTGCTCAGTATTGCTCAGTGCTGCTCAGTCCTGAGCGTACTGATCCCTACTGATCCACACTGAGCGAGGTTACCTGGCATCCACGTGACTGTCCGCACCGTGACCTCTGTCCCGTGGCTTGCCCTCGGGTAACCTGCCTCTTGAGTGATTTGCTGTCGTCACAGCTTCGTATGCGGCCTACTCGCAGGCCTGGTTCGTAACACTCTACTACCTTCAGTGGTTAGGTCTTCAAGCAAGATTAATGTAAATTCTGGGGGCTACATTATCCAGAGAGGAGCTAGTGAGGCTGTTAAAGGTATATAACGCCCGCTTAATGTAAGAACAACGAGGTTTTATGTTAATCATGCTATAGCTGTGGCAACTCAACCTCAGCTCTAGCAAGTTATGTGTCATAGAGACGCCGGTATTTATTAAGTGTATATTAATTAATATGTTTAATATAATATATAGGTCGCTTTCCTCGGTCAACCTTCGGCCAGGGCCCTATTTAAAGCCGTTATATATATGAGTCGATATATTAATCCATAAGCACTAACGAGGCTCGCTTCAGATAAGATAGACGCTCTTAAGGGCGATCCGGCGATTGTTTAGCTTCAAGAGCTAAGAGATCAATTAATCAGTGAAGTATATAAAGAATTTGGAACCTTGAAAAAGGCGCAAGCTGAAGGGACTAAGCTCTATCAGATATATTAAAAAGCCAACAGAGCGCTTCGTTCCGCAAAGATAGTCACTATTAATTCAGCGAAGAAAGCCGCTCGATAGCAATTTTTCAATATAATCAGTATAGCTAAGATCAATAAGCAACTTGATCTCTCTATGCTAGATCTTAAGGACGGCGACTGAGTGCCTAAAAAGGTGGAACATCGCTTGGAAGAGCGATAAATGGTTGCAGCTCTTATTTGCCAGGACACTTTCAAGTTCAGTGATCAGGATAAGATCTCTCATAGAATTAGTACCGTGAACGCTCTCGTCGCCTTATATCAGAAGAAGGACGTCTCGCTACAGCTCAGACCAGATCGACCACGGGGACTTCAGAACGAAATTGGAGCCCTCGACCATCAGCCCTTTCTCTAGGCTTCAACAATAACGCAATGCGTTTTCTGCTTCTGGAACACAAGAGAACTCTACAAAGTCTGACTTCGCAACTTCTTCACTATGTACAAAACGCGAGATCATGTGGATTTCCATCTTAAACAATATAACGCATAGGACAACATTATATGCCTAGACCCTAAATGTCAAGCCTTAGCTATCATCCTTTATGGACCTATGCATTTCAAGAACCATGAAGTGTGTGTGCACAATTACGACATCTTCCGAAAAGACTGTTAGTCTCGCTTACTGGATATCAATGTCACTGATTACTGTTGGAGGAATATGAAACCATCGCTGATCGGTCATACAGAAACGGCCTTCTTTGAGTTCATCCTCAACTGCCACCTTAGTATTAACGCCCCATTGGGTTACCAGTATAGATTGCACCTTCGTGACCAAAGTTCTCTAGATATAGAGATTTAATGACTACACAAGGGCAAGAGGCCCCCAGAATTCCTGGTCTGGCATGAGTCCGACCTCTCTAACAAGGTTGTCTAACGAGTGGGCATATATAGATGTATCTCTCAATACCTTGTATCACCAACTCGCATTTTCGTACCACTACTGAATTATAGAGCTGGGCACTCAATATTGTGACTACACCGAGGACCAAACCAGAACCAATCCATGCCGCCAGGAATGGTGCGGTCTCACGGTAAGCCACGTGAGTTCCCGGATAGCCCTCGCCACGAAGCATCCACCAGATAGCATCTCTTGTAGGGTTGCGTCAAAGCCGATAAACGAGCTCGTGAATGAGGTAAAGGGAGAAGGAGACCCGGCCCAGGTACTGAAGAGGCCGGCTTTCGAGGAAACGTTGAAATTGTATAGCGCGACTGGTTGAGTAGATAAACATCATGGCTCCAAGAGCCTGCCAGCAGAACCGAACGTCAACCCACTCATCATACTTTGTCCAGTGGGGAGACTGCAGGGCGCGAAGTTTGCGATACTCCGGAGCTAATTGTGTTTCGCCGTCTACACAGAGAAGATACGTTCCGCCGGCCAGAAAGACGAGATTCATCATCTCGGTTGATAGGCGCTTCGGACCAATTGTCACTCGTCCGCTCGCCTTTTCTGACCCGTTCCAGTTCCGCTGCTGTGCATTTGGCGACATGTTAATGACAGCCAGGAAATGGCCACCCACAAAGCTGAAGATATCTCAGTGACCATACCACAAGAGGTGTAGAAGCATGAGTCCGAGAGTGAGCCGCTGAACGTTGGGTTTCAACCCCGAGAGGATTGTCAGGAGAAGGTAGACCACACAGGACCCACGAAACTCCAATGGAATGGTCTATACTTGCCCATTATGACCCTCATTCCACTGGAAGATGACTATGTCCATGTTGTCCAGGAGATATCGCGCCACATATAAAACATGTTCTCTAGGGGATTTCCACGGCTTGGTGCCACGGAGCACATTGTCTGGGAAGTTCCAGTTGAAAAGTCCGCAGAAATAGAGAAGCTGTGACAGGACTGCCAGTGCTAAGACTAGGAGGTATATGCGGAGGAACTTGCGGATGGCGGCTGTCTGGAGATGATGAAACAAGAATATCTCTGATCCTGCGGTGTAGCTCAGTCTGAGGAACTTGGCTGACATTGCATAGCCGGCGATAACCATGAAGAATGGTACCATTCCGTAGACGGCGAAGATGAGGCGAATCGGGAACAGTTGGAAGACCAGCCGGTTGTTCTCTGGCGGATCATCCCAAAAAGACCGAAACGGCGCCTGGATCTCGCCGTTGAAGTAATGATTGAAGGCAACCACAATGGCGGCGATACCCTGGAGGCCATCGAGCCAGCGTATCCGCCCCATGTCACGTCGCACGGGGCTAGCTTTCGTTTCCTATTTCACAGCACAGGAAACCGGGTGGCATGTACTAGAGGACGGCAGACGACAGCACGAGGATGAGAGAGAACGGAAGAGATCGAAGGTGATGTTCGGACAAAGGTGCCTTCTCAGGAGACTTGACCGATACTGGGGGTTTATATACTGTTTTATCTCGAGGCGGCAGCGGGGTAGTAGATATCTCGATCCAACAGCATATTTAGGTCTCTTGTAACGAATCAGAAGAAGATGCTATCACGAACAGATCAGTGGGTTGTTACACGTCGAAGGACACAGTGTGGGTCCAATTGCGGGATATAAGTACTGTACCTCGTCTCCGTGGGCCGAGCCGAAGTTGCCTTCCGGGATCGTCGTTACGTACATCGACATATGTCGGTAGTCAAACCGGTCACCGAAATATTGTAGATCTTCGTGTGCTTGATGCCTCTACACCTGACCGCCTCTTCGGTGGACGGTCTTGGTATTAGGGGTCGATAAGCTCTAATATATCTATGTGCTGCGCCAGCATAGCTTGTTCTTTCTCGGGCTTGTTTTGTCGTTCATCACACTACGTTCCATGGCGAACAAGAAAGCCTTTTGGCTGCCCCCCAAAGGGCATTGCTCGGCATCCACGCTGTTCCAAGTATTCGAGTACAATTACTTGATCTTCCCGTTCACTGTGATAGCAACATTCTTATGTGCGTAGGCTTTTGTCCTCAAATCCCGGAATTCACATTGACCTGAACGATAGTGCTGCGTGCTTTGGCTCGTATGGTCGGCTATGAGGCACTCGTGGTCGAGTATGATGCGAATTTCCAGTGGAACTGGACCACGTTGGTCTGCTGCATCGCGAATGCTGTGTTCGTGGCCGCACAGCTCCCACCCTATGCAAGTATCTGGGGCCTCTGCTTGCCTATGCGGCCGAACATACACTCGCAATCGCCCCGACAACGATCATACAGCTCACTCAAAGTCTGTCTGGTGACAAAAGGCACCAACTTCCAGGTACGGCAGCCGCCCCTCAATCAGCACCCAAAAGACCAGACAATGCATGGCTGACATTCCTCAATAGACTGTGATCAACTCTACTCGGCCGTGGCGCAACCTGCGGAAATTCCAGAAGCTGCAGTTCTATGTTGTCGTCGACAACGTGAACGACGCAATCTTCCGCAAGACTCTCTCTTCATTCGTCAATGTGGTGTCCATACCAAGTTCCTTCGTCACCAAGCGGGCCAAATACAAGGCCCGCGCCCTAGAGTACTTTAGACGCGAGCAGAATTTTTCCAAAGGCGACTGGGTCTTGCATCTTGACGAAGAGTCGCTGATCGATGAGTATGTCATCCAAGAGTGCCTGAACTTCATTGAAAGAGGAAACGGCGATATCGGAATGGTATTTACCTCGCTCCATCTCCCCTTTCGAATTTTTGTCTGTTGCTGACGTTGCATACATCACGACAGAGTTCGATTTTCTACAATAGCACTAACCACTGGAGGAACAACCTTCTTTCTGCGGCGGAGGTCCTTCGCGTGGCAGAGGACTTTGGCCGTTTTCAACTCCCTGTTCGGCTCTTTCAACGGCCGCTGCTGGGATGGATGCACGGATCCGGGATCCTTATCAACGGCGTTGTAGAAAACCAAGTGACATGGGAGACCGCATGCGTGGCAGAAGATTTCTGGTTTGCCTACAAGGTATGGTTGATAACCGCCGAAACCCCTAGGAAAGGGAGAAAGATACTGACAAACCTCAAAGGCAGTCGATCTGGGGTACAAGTTTGGTTGGCTCTATACCATCTGCCGTGAACAACCTCCGCAGACCATGAACGACTTCTTTCGGCAGCGTCGGAGATGGTACACCGGCATTCTATCCATCGAAAGCGTCGTTGTGCGGACAGCATTGGTGTTGTCCGTCGGCGGCGCATTGGGCTTTTTTCTGGTGTAAGTGTCGCTGGATCCCTCTTTGATTATGTGACGAGCAATAGAGCTGACGCCAACTGTTTTCGCAGTCCCGTATTTTGCATGCTGGGCGGCGCTGGTGGAATTCCTCGCTGGTTATATCTCTGGCTGCTGTGGAACACAGCCGTGGATGTTCACGTGGTGACGGTAGCCTCAGTAATTCAGGACCTGCTCGCGCCAGAGGTATCATGGGCACAGATGGCTGAGCATGCCACAAAGTCAGTGCTCCTCACGCCCCTTATTCATCTGTTGCATGCCGGGGCCTTAGTATCTTGCCTTTTTACGCCAGCAAAGGGCTTTGATGTTATTAGTAAGAGCTAGGCACCGGGACAAGCTCATCAAGAGTCAAAATGTTGAACTAGGCTGAGTTGCGCCCGCTGTCAGCACTGTCTTTACAAGCCAAATACTCACGCCTAGCGTCTTAGCGCCTCCGGCGGAACGCCGACGCCCTCACGTTCCTTACAACTTTTGCAACACCATGAATTCAATTCATTCTTGCCATTTCACAGTCCTCAGGATGGAGGAACAGGACCTCGCCGACACAAGGACGTCGACCTCCGACGGCGATCTCCTCGGCCGCCGCCGATGCCCGGGAGAGAATCTCCTCCAGCAGGATGAAGAAATTTTCGCTCCTTTACCATATAAATAGGTAGAACAGCGACCTCCTAGTTCTGGAGGTCAGACTCGTCAATACATCCCATTTAGCCCCCAGACATCGCCTAGAACTGAGCGTTGCATAACAAGAGGCACCCGTGGAACACTTCTTCCTTTCTTGCAACACTCGGTTATCCTCTTCAGGCCGCTCTGAACACTCCGCGGATGCTCCAAGACACACTTGACTGTGCGCTGAGGTGCGCGCTGTACTTAGAATCTGTAGAGAACGTTGTAGACTTGACTGAAATCTGCTGTCACTGTGCATCACCCGGTACGCAACTCATATGCTCGCATGTTGACTACGCACACCTTTCTGTATGCATACTGTACTTGCTTGTTCTCGACCGATTCATTGTGTACGTGCTAGTCTTGAGCGTGTACGTGCCTATTCATGCGCATGTCCCTCCATGCATAAGGAGAAAGAAAGAAAAAAAACACTTGCCTAGGCCCCTTGACCTAGTTGTCCACGTCTGCTTGGCCCTAGGCCCACTGTGCAGTGACCACCTCCCTGGAGAGGGGCACACACCTCTCAACTCACTACACTATTATACAACACTTAGTTCTAGGCGATATTTAGGGGCCAAAGAGAATATATTGATAAGTCTATCCTCTCTCTCTTGGAGGGAGATCTCTATCTATTATATAGACAAAAGAAGCGTTACGAGGAAGGGCTTTCTCGTCGCCGCACAGCGCGCCGCGTGGAGTCATCGACCGTTCTCGGGCGGCGTTCTATCGTGCGACGTTCTAGACGGAGAGAAAGCCTCCTTGTGAAGTCCGAAAATATAGTCATATATGACTAGAAACAGTGAATTGATGGTGTTGCAAAAGTTGTAAGGAACGTGAGCGCGTCGGCGTTCCGCCGGAGGCGCTAAGGCGCTAGGCGTGAGTATTTGGCTTGTAAAGACGGTGCTGACCGCGCCCGCAACTCAGCCTAGTCCAACAATTTGCTAAGGTCCGAGCCGACCCTAGCCTACCCTCGAAACTACTTTGTCGGTGGGGGTAAATGTCGACTCCTCAGCAAATGTTCCAGGGTTTATGCGGGGAGCCAAGACGAACAGGTCTTCAAAGACTGTTATGAGGCAGATGGAACCCTCAACGACCTTGTGGTCGGCGCTTTTGTGCCACACGATAGCCCGTCTCTGGCGAATGACCTACTTGGCAACGTTCAGACTCATGCGAGGCTAACTGTCACGGGCTAAGCGTGCCGAGAGCGGAACGAGGTCTAGAATGTGGTGATTGTGCTATCAAATACGGACTCGGTAAGAGTAATAAGGCGATAGGCGCCTGCGCCTGCCGCGGTCACACCCACGTGACCCGCACGTGACCAGTGCCTTGGCACTAACTAGCACTGCACAGTCAGCAACCAAGGCACCGACTATCTCTGCCAAAATATAGATGGACTTCTGCCTGCCGACTGGCATGCTGAAGTCGTACCACCGATTGTGCCTTCATCGTATCATCTGGTTATGTTTTTGAACGGCTGACATTAGTCCACTCACCACCCCCGACGATTCGTAAGAATAGCATTATCAGTACTACCACATACTTCCTCTGGTTATAGGATCGTTGCAATGCCAAACAATGACTCGCTCTTCCAATTATCGATTTCGATCGATAATACGGTTTTCAAAACCGTTGATATTCTCCTAAAATTATTTCAGTCGGCAGGAGAAGACGATGTCCAAGGCCAGGTTGTCATGGCACTTGAAGCCCTGGGATCAGCGCTTCTGGTGTCTCCCGTGAGAATTAGCGAAGGCGTCGAGGCTTTATCACAACTAGGTGTTGGAAAAGGAATAAATTGTAGCACGAAGGACTATGAAGGAGGTATTGGGCCCGGGACGCGGTATTACAGTAGGTGCGCCGCGTCGAGGGCCTCAGTGAAGGAGAGGCTTGGCGTTCAGGTCACAATCGTGACAGGCTGGGAATCGCCGAGAATCTCATGAAGCAAAAAGGTGATCCTGAGGGAGGGAAATGCGGAGGCTCAGACTGGCTGGGAAAGAATTCATTCTACAGTAATGCGCAAAATGTATGAATTTCGCCAATGGATTCGAGGCTACCGTTTGTACCGGGAATCAGAAGTCCTACATTTACACAAGGAGGTTTAAGCACCAGCATTGGAACGGGGTTTGGCAAGATTCACGGATCCTTGTCTGGAACATCTGTCTACGAATTCTCAGAGCCAGGTTAGCTGATGGATGATGGAGGCCGAAAATGGCCTCCTTGTGCCTCTGATATGCTCAGATGTAAGTTACACCCCTAACAAAACAGAGGTGCATACCTCAGAATCCCGAGCTATTTCATTGCAGTTTGACAAGAATAAGTTGTAGGCTGCAATATCCCCGGAGACGAGTCACTAGGCCGAGCTGATGCGCAGATCCACGGCATCCAACCACATTTCATCGTGCTACCTACGGGTAGATTGCTCGAGAAGGGAAAACCTCATTGCCATGTACGATTTGCTCGTAGAGAGTGAGCACAGGCCGCGTTAACCTGAGCGTTTACTGCGCCAATAGCTGATTTGTCACTGAGCTCGCTCCAGGCACTTCCTGAGACCTAACCCAGGGGCCAAATTAGGCGCCCTTGCAATCGGCTACACCGGCTCCTCGAACGGCGTCAGGGCGCGGGAAGTGAGTGTCGTGAAGATGGAGTTGTGTACCCACAGGTTCCTGCTATCGAGTCCCTCGTTCAGCTTGAAGCTTGACGAGTCGGCAGTGCCCACAGCCACAAGGGCTGGTTCCTAGCGCCATGGTGGGCACTTCTCGCGCCGGCACGGCGGAAGTCGGCGGAATGCCCATGCCGTTTATCAATACCATGTTCTGACCGCGAGACCCCGTTCGACATTTGCCTTTCAACATGGGCTTCCCACACGACGCCTTTTCATCCTTCAAATCCATCTCTGGGATGCTTTCACAAGTAAATCGACAGTGCATACCCTGTCGACGATTCATCCGGTCTTGCATTCGGCCGTGGGTTCCGCCTGCTCCCCCCCCAGCCGTAACCCTCACCCAGTACCCCTGTCGGTGCTCATCTACTGTAGTAGCCGTCTCAAGGTATGCAGTCTCAAGATATGCGGTCTCAACTCTGTGGCCGCCTATCTTCCACATCTTTAGGAGCTAAATGGCCATCACACGGCGAGGGCTAGCTAGCGTGCTCACATGGACGAATCTCCATGGCAGCACTCTTATCTCTGTCCGTGCCTCAAGCTCAAGGAGCAAGGAGTGTGCCCAAAGACTTGAGTCTCTACCACACGTATACACTATTTGGAGTACTCTGTAAAACCAAGAGCTTGTACCTCGCGGGCACTTCACCTCGCGGGCACTTCACCTCGCGGGCACTTCACCTCGCGGGCACTTCACCTCGCGGGCACTTCACCTCGCGGG